GTCTGAAGCAGCTGTGAGTAGATGATGAAAGATTGATCTTGGGCTGAGTATTCGGCGATGACCGTTGGCCTTCGATCGCTCTAATACATCTGCTCGGGACTCGGCAGTCCAGTCAGTCACGTTACGCATGTGATGGATCTGCAGCTGATAATAATCGACGTAACAGCTTCAAAATTGGGCGAGCTGTCAAGACTTTTCAGTGAGAGCCGAGGAAAACCTGATGAATATTTTGGGGGAATTCCAGTGCTTCTAGTTGGCGCCTTCAACCAAAAAGAACCGGTTGGGGGTATTCTAGCCACAACAACTCTCATGAAAAAGGTTCAAAACGAACAAGCAACTTTACAACAACATCATACAGCCTCTAATACTACCAAACAAAGACAGTACAGGTCATCAACGTCGTTGTTGAATGCCAATGTTCATAACACTGCCTCAGATAGTAGCTTGGGAAGCAGCATACTTTCTGCTTCCAGATGGTTTGAGCTTACTGTGGCAGAGCGCAGTAAAGACATGAAGCATAACGAGAACATTGACAAACTTTATGATGGCATGCAGATCCACCTTGACAAGTTTCACATCTATGAATTCTACAACGATAAAAATTTGATGGCAGATACAGCAGAAGAGAGGCTCATGTGGTTGAAAGCTCCAGTTATAGTGAAGACCAATAGAAAACGATGCACGATCAACTATTCGAGAGGCCTACAATTTGCCAAGGCAACAAATGCTGTTCTTGTACGATGGAATTTAGACTACAGCAAATGGGAAGGAAAACCACCAAATCTATCTGACATCGAAGACACGATTGATAGAGACGCAGCATTTTGGGAAATATTTGTAAGTGGAGGACCATGTTACTTGATTGATACCATATCAAAGGAACGGAAATTGTGCAATGGAACAAGAGCATTCTCTTGTTCTCAGCCCGGAACAAATGGATTCCTACAAGATGCAGATACTTAATGGCCAACATGTGATTACGTTCAAGCAACCTCCAATTGGAATCAATATTAAAATATCAGACAAGATCATCATTGCAAGAAACTCGGACTTCTGCATGGCACAAGATGGAAACAACTTTGAACCAGAAATGGCATTTGTCTCTGTACCTACATGCCAAGGTTGTCCAAACGTAAGAAAACGTCAAATGTTCATCAAATCTCCTAACATTCTACTGCACCCATCGAGGGTTACTGTCAAACAAAAATTTCCACTTACAGCAGGCTTTGCGCTCACGGTTGAGAAAGCGCAGGGTCAGACGCTAGACCGCGTGATACTTGCCATTTCCGAGTGACAGCACAAACTCTCCAACTTCACCTATGCATGTTTATATGTTGGAAATAGCAGGGTAAAGCAATCAGAACATCTGCGTTTGCTTTGACATACACAACCCAATCCTGTGCTACAATGGAGCACACTCAACTACCTCACTGGGTTAAGGCAGGCTAAAAGCATCAAAGCATTTTTCAGCGGCTTCAGGAGAGATCGTTCAAATTTCCGCAAGTTGTCTCCTGGCATAAAAAATGCTTAGTATCTGTTTGCATTGTCTGCTAGCTTCTGCGCCGACATATCGAGCTTGGGGTAAAAGAGTACATTTGCCAAATAGTATCCAAGACAGAAAGCTTTGTCTTTTTGTTGAAATGGAAGTGGACTCAGAGAACTGCAATTGCTACCAAACTTGCAGAGGCAGTCGTCAGGCGCCTTGTCCAAAATGGAATCTCCTATAGGGATAAGGTATCGTTCCTGATACAGTCCTTTTAGCTTTGCTAACTCTCCTCGCAGCTGACAACTGTACAAATATCCTTCGCTTAGATACGGCTTGAGCCATTCCATCCTGCAGCCCTTGATGATTGTCTCCTTCTCTTGCAGACCACAATAGACAGTAAACTTTGGATCCTCCTCGTCCTCTTGCTCTGTTTCATAACGAAGCCCTCG